ATTAAAGTGAGCTCTGATCAAGAGCTATTTCAATTCTGTAAAGATTGTTACTCTACACTTAAATGCAGGGTTTACTTAAAATTGTGGGTATATGCTTCCTTTAGGTGTCTTAAAATAGCCTGAACTTTGTCTCTTCTGCTTTGTTACCAGGGGTCCAAATCCCAGCAAAGTGTTACAGCAGTTGTTGGTGCTTCAACCAGAACAGCAGTTAAACATATATAAAACCCTGAAGACGCATCTCATTGAGAAAGGAATCCTACAGCCTACCTTGAAGGTATAACTGCTTCCAGAGAGTAAAGGACTGACCTGACAATAAGGAATTCTACAGAAGAGCACTGACAGATGAAATTTTGTAAATGTACAGAAAAGTGGTTGAAAATGCAATAGATGAAAGATTTACAGACATGAATGTTTCTTCTCTGAAATTACTGTGAATATTTAACACTTACTTGATCTACGTTGTGAAATAAGTAGCAAATTATCTTCAAAATATCCTGTACTTTTTCTAAAGTGTATTTTCTGATGTCAACTTCCTTCCCCTTACTTGCCATTTTCATAATTTAAAAGACTTGGTTTTAGAGTCCAACACTGTAAAATGAGTAAATTGAGGATGTCTTAAGATTGCACCTGGCATTGTGCCCTTTGCACCAATATTTACTTTTGCACTTGGAGTGGCTCTTAATTTTAACAAAATGTTTTATGGAAGGCACAGTAGGAAGTTAGTTCTCCTGCACTTCCTTCTCTTTTAGTCTGAAGTATTTTCGGAGGGACTGAGTTGGGTCCTTCCCCCATCCTCCACCCCCTAAAAATAAGTAAGTATAATCATTTGCCAGGAAAAAACATTCCACTTTTAGGTAGGTTTGAAATTCAAGCGAGGGAAGCTGAAATTTCTACCATTATTGGCTTGCTAGAAAGAACAGACATCAAACTCTACTTCTGATATAGCTGTCAGGAAAAATATAATGTCGCAAAAACTTTTAAAAGAAGCAAAAGAGAATTTTGCTGTGCAAATGTAATGTAGGCACCGTCCACAGATTATCTCCACAGATGGCTCAGGAGACAGCATAAGACGATGACATGTGACACAGGCCACCTCGTGGTCAAGTTCCCTGCTTTTCCTTGTTTCCCTGTGAACTGGTTTCTATAAGTTCTATAGCCATGAGCACAAAGATCAATATATAGGGTAGTGAGTAGGGGTGGTGGCTGAAGCAGAGAGGGGGGTGCTCGGCTGAGCACACGTGACCCATCTCAGGATGAGGCTCTGCACGCTCTGCCCTGGGTGCCTCCCTCCTGTTCCCTGTGGGGACACTCAGCTGGCAGGAAGGAAGATCTGCCTGGAGACCCAACCTAGACTAACTCCATGGGAACAGCTCATCTTTGTCCCATTCCTCTTTCACATCATGTCAAAACGTGAGGACATCAGCTGATATTTTTTTTCCAAGTATGGAAATCAAGCAGAAGTGATTCCCGTCCAGAACAAAAAGCACACGAATGCCAAACCTTTCCTCTGGTCGACTGGACACTGTAACCAGATAAATGTCTTATCAGTGAATGTACAGAAGCTACTGTTGCTGCGTGCTCTCAACAACCATATTTATTGTATTGAAGAGTCAGCAATAAACCTTTGGAGGTTGCCTATTGCTCCTTGCCTAAATGTTCAGAGGGGAGAAATAGATATATTTTAAAGAATGTTTTGCTAATGAAAAGAGTAAATATTTTTGTTTAAATCAGAAACAAATTTCAATTATTTTATATTTCTGTTCTACTATACCTACAATAAAAGATTGTAGATATGCCTGGGCTCCACTATAGATATTCCTGGGATGTAACCTGTAACTAGCAACTTCATCGTGTGCATTACATGATTATGGTAGATGTAGTTAAACTCAGTACCAAGAGTGATATCTTGGTGTGGCATACATTTGGCTGATTACCACTGAATGTGTTCAGTCAGCGTTATTTCACACTAGTCCATAAAAACCTAAAATTAGCATTGGAAGTGTTAGTATAGGAGAGAATGAGCACTTTTGAAATCAGGCTACTTACAAGTTAATTTTCAGCATCTCGTTATTTGTCTCATAAAAGCTCCAAATGTTGATCATAAAAGAATTTAGCATACCAAAGTGTAAAAATAAAATGAAATATCGGTAATAGGAATTTAGTTGAAAACTTGGTGATTTGCACAATAAGAACTCCTTGGAGATACATAGTTCGCTC